AAACGAACACGAATGTAAAACTAGATTCGATTGTTAACGAAAACGAATATGAATATTCTAGAACTTATATGAGCACGAATAATAATAATGCCAAGTATGTAATTCGTTCAAAACCTTGCATACATTATTCAAGCTTGCATAAATATAGAAAAATATACTACAATATTTTTACAGAAATATTAGGTTGGACTGTTGGATCTTTCTTAAAAAGGTTTGTTTGTCGAATACTCGGTATGTAACCAGATCTTTTGAAGATTTCTATAATACGGAGTATAAAAACTAAAAAAAGGCAAAATTTTGTAATCTTTGTTTATGAAATACTCTCTCCCTTCCATTGGACTTTGTCAACTTTCCTTTTATGGTTGTCCAAAAAAACTTTGTCACTTTCCTATTAAAGCAACTAATTTGTGTTTATGCACATTTCTCTCTGTCTGCACAAATTTCAAGCACATAATTTTTACTATTCTTATTTATCACCTACTTTGCACTTGACAAAGGGGAATAATAGGTATACTATTTGGTCTAACATCGAATTGGAAGATGGATGAGGGTAGTCTAATCATGAAGCAAGTCAATTGTGCTTCACTGTTGCAACGCGATGGGCACCAATAAACACGCTGCTCATATTCAACGTCATGTTTTTCTAAGACACCAATGTGCGCAGCCAGGCCAGTTTGCATTTACGAATTATAAAGTGGAGTTTCAAGTTTTAATCTTTACACAAGGGACGATGGAAAGATCGTTGTCTTGCCACTGTTGTTGTGCTAGGTCTAGTCAATGTTGAAAATAATATTACCCCCTTATATTCAATTCATATTTTAAATTTTGCTATATTTTCTTTAAAAAAATTAAAGTACTCTTAACTTTTCTACTCCGTACTTTTTATCACTTATTTCATATTTTTTCACCTTTTCTTCTAATTTTTCTACACTATTGTAAGTATCCTATTATTTCATCCTTAAATAATGTCTACAAACCTATTGTAATGAACATTAAAATACGGAGGGGGTATGATTTTTCAAAAATACTTAGAGCTCATTTGGTAACCATGTTTTCGGCTTATCAGCCTGTTTTTGCATCAAACAGGTAACTTTTGATTTCGGCCGCTGAATAGTGTAATAATCAAAATAATTAATGTTGAAGTTATTTTTCTGGCAACATTGACTAAGGTTACTGTAGAAGATCTTTTTAGAAATTTTTCATATAATTTTTTCTCTGTTTTATTAACATAAAGTATTTTAACTATAAAAAAATCACAACTCAGCAGAATCAATTAATCCAATCACTTCAGCCAGAATTTCACAAATTTCAGTAGAATCGGAGGATTCAGCCAATTTTAGTTTTAGTGTTACCAAACGAGCTCTTTATGTACATCTTACATACTCCCTCCATCCCTTAAAACTTTGTCAACTTTCCTTTTTTGGATGTCCCACTAACTTTGTCACTTTCTCTTTTAAGTAAAGAATTTGTGGTTCCAGTTAATTCTCTCTCCTCTGCACAAACCTCAACCACACAGTTTTTACTTTATTAATCCCCGTGCCGGTCAAACTTGGCAAAGTTTTAAGGGACGGAGGTAGTAGTAGTTAGTATACATCTTGGTGTACCGGTCTCTCTCTCCGCTCTCTTCTATGCCAAAAATTTCAATTCCCCTTGCTTTCTCTTTTCTTTCTTCTTCATAACTTCCATCTTTTATCTTTATCGCCTCCTATCTCCACCATTCTCCGTATTGATCACCTCTCATCTTCATCATTTTTATGTTATTCATCTTCCATTTTCATCATATTTCATCTTCATCACCTTCCATTGTCACTTTTCATCTACTTATATCATATTTAATCTTATCAACTTCATCATCACTGAAGTTGGGGTCATTGACTATCTAGAGTTATGTTTTCCACTAACGGGATTTGTGATGAATTTTATGGTGGCGGGTTTATGATCCAGTGACCAAGTGTTTGAGGTGGTTGCCATCAGTGACTATAATAAATGAGTTTTCATAGTTAAATTTGTTATTAGTAAATGAAATGCTAACAAGTGAGGTGCTAGACATTATTAGTGATTACAAGATATTCACTAATATGATGAGGTCGCTAACCTTGCGATTTGATTAGCCTTGAGCGAGTCACAAACGCGTTTGCGAAATTAGTCACTGAAAATCGACGATGGTACTTAACAAATCAGAAGTTTAGAGTCACTAATACTCCCTAAGAATAAATTGAAGGGCATTAGCCTTTGTTGGCGGCAGCTAGGGTTTCAGTGACTTCAAGGACGACTAGGGTTTCAGTGAAGTCATTGAGGCACAGTTAGGGTTCCGATGACTTCGTTGGCGGCGTCTAGAGTTTCATTGGTATAATTAAGGCGGCTAGGGTTCAGTGAGGTCGTTGAGGCGGCTAGGGGCCCAGTGACTTCGTTGACGATGGCTAGGGGCCCAGTGACTTCGTTGACGGCGGCTAGGGGGCCAATGACTTCGTTGATGGTGGCTAATGTTTCAGTGACTTCATTAATAGTGGCACACAGAGATACATGTGGCAAAGGCAGTGATGGTGAGGAAGCATATACTATACCGCCGCCAGTGACAATTTTGTAATTTTGGTGAAATCACAATTTCTCTTGAATGAACATTGATGCAATTTTGATGAGCATCAAGTTTGTTTTTTTAGTATTAAGAGCCTATTTAGCCTGGCATATATAAACATGTCATGCTTTTATATACTCCGTATTACCGTATACGGAGTATTTAATTTAGTGATATTCCTAAATTAAAGGTGTATTACTTTTAACATTTGCTGATTTAATTTATGAATAAATATCAAAAATAGAACTCAAAATTTTAAATCAAGACAAGAATAATATTTTATACTCCCTCCGGTTTTTATTAAACTTCACACTTTCCTTTTTGGGACGGTCTAAAATAAACTTCACACTTCCTTATTTCCTTTTTTTGCAAAGAAATATACATCAAAATAGTGTCAAACAGTGTCAAACAGTGTCTCAACAGTGCCAAACAGTGTCTCAACAGTGCCAAACAGTGTCTCAACAGTGCCAAACAGTGTCAAACAGTGCCTCAACAGTGTACTCTACAGTAAAGTCAAATTTCTTTCCTTATTTTGTGTGAAGTCAAAGTGTGAAGTTTAATAAAACCCGGAAGGAGTATTTATATTCATTTTATTTGTATGGATGGGTCAGTGCAATGGCAGTCACGTTACATTTAGCACTGGTCAGGCACTGTGTGAAATGCGCGGTGTCTCTGTGTGTGATGGGTCTGATCAGCGAAGGACCAGCATAACACATCCATCAAGGAATCCCAGAAAGGTTACAAGGAAAGATGCTCTCATTCCATTCAAAGATTTTTTTTATTATTTCTATGCAAGTGTTCTTCTGTCCAGATTTCAGACTTTTACCAGAGATTTTTGGACTCAGAATCGTATACTACAGAGCTATAGGTCAGAAGTTCTTTGTTTTGTAGCCTACTGTATGTTTGCTCTGCTTTGCAGTAGACCTCTGTGCAACTGCTATTTTTTGCAGCTTGTCAGTCACCATAATCTGACACAAAAATATCAACCATTATTCCATTTTATCGGCTTTAGAAGTATTTTTGAGGAATTCATTCTAATGAGCTTTTAACAATTATCAGAATGTTTAGAGTCCCAAAAATCGATTGTTTTGGTTGATTCTGCTGAAATTTATTAAGTTGTGGTTGAAGTGGCTGTATTGGCTGATTCTGCTGATTTAAGAAAAAAAAAATTAAAATATATTTTATTAATAAAATAAAGAAAAAATTATACTTCTTCCGTTTTGCTAAGATTGTTCCATTTTATCTTTTCGGGAAGTCCCACTAAAATTGTTTCATACCAAATTTGCTAAAGTTTGTGTGGCTCTAAATCATTCTTACTTTATTCTTACTTTATCAATTTAATATCAATCACACAAAATCACTTTTCTTAATAATCGTGTCACATTCACTTGTTCCAATCTTAGTGGGACGGAGGTAGTATATAAAAATAGCTTAAATGGTCATCTACACTAACTTCAGCCAATACAGCCAGAAAAGTAACTTCAACCTTACTTATTCTGGTTATTACACAATTCCACGCGCGAAAGTAAAGTTACATGTTTGGTGAAAAAGTTGGTTGATAAGCTTGATAAACCGAAAACAATGTTGTCAAACGGCCTCTTAGTGTTTACATTTTTTTTTAGTGTTGACATAGTTGTTTACATGTTTGTGAAGATTTTTATTTGCCTATGAATACACATGTTTTCTATTTGATCAATGTATTCATAGACAAAAAAACCTTCACAAGCATGTAAACAACCCTGTCAACAATAAAAATAGGGAAAAGGTGCAAATAGGCCCATGTACTAACCAAAAAAGGTCAAATAAGCCCTTATTTAGGAGGCTCTGTCCGGTCATCGTCATTTGGGGTGGTTCCCGGTGGAATTTTTTTATGAAATTTTTTTAGCATCTTATTCATCAAGTCTAGTTTACTCATACCAAATATCAGCTAAAACTTCAATCGGGAAGGCACTCAAATGAATTCTTGAAAATAACTGTGCAGTTAGAAGCGCAGTTATTTTCAAGAATTCATTTGAATGCCTTCCCGATTGAAGTTTTAGCTGAAATTTGGTATGAGTAAACTACACTTGATGAATAAGATGCTCAAAAAATTTCATCAAAAAATTCCACCGGGAACCACCCCAAATGACGACAGCCAGACAAAACCTCCTAAATAAGGGCTTATTTGACCTTTTTTGGTTAGTACATGGACCTATTTGCACCATAAAAATATATACGAAAAGTTATTTTTTCAGATTACTAGTTTTATCAACAACTTTTTCATTACATTATTACTTCTGTGCATTATAACTTTGCTAATTTTGTTTTTTGATTGTGTTGAGTTTAATCCAACACGATATAGTAAATATATGTATGAACACTCAGTTTTTACGTGGAAACCCGAAAGGGAGAAAACCACGGGACTTTTTAGGCTAATGTCCAAGCCCTCTCTTTCTCATTAGGACTCTCCTCACCATTACATAGTACATTTTGAGATCCCATTCATGGAGTATTATCTAATCTAGAGAGCTAAAGGAAGAAGGAAAAAGATGCCTAATATGGAGGCTAAGCTCTCTATTTATAGACAAAGGGAAAGGGTGCTCTCCACCCTAATGGGCCAAACGGGCCAATATCGGGCCTAATGGGCCGAAATGGGCCTAGCTGCTCGGGCTCCGTACTGGATAATGTCTTGGGCCCCTGAACAGTAATAGGCCGGGATAATATATCCCAACACAAGTCCCCCAGTTTCTTGAGTAGTGAGCTCGCGAATCTGCTCGAGAAAATATACTCTGCCTGCGCTCTTCCTCTGTCTTGCTGGAAACTGTGTCTTCACATAATCATCATATATGAGTGAGTGTCTGCACTCCTGAACGTAATCTACCAGTGAGGCACCCCCCTTCCCGACAGGGTCGGGCGAAGGGTGCTCCTCCACGGGCACACTCCCCCTGAATGCATCAGGCGGGAGTAAAGGACTCTGACTCGAGCTTTCCAATCGGAGAAGCTTAGAGGTCCATCATCTATAACCCGACGTCGCGGTACTATCAAAACATGATGCACGTGTGTATGTATGAATGTATGAGGTATGATGCATGAATGTATGTATGCATGTAATGTATGTATGTAATGTATGAGAGAGGGAATGCAGATGTGATAGAAGCAGTAGCTCTCATCGATAACACGGGCATGTCAGCGCCGAGAAGCAGACGTGCTGCATAAGACGGGTCCCCCATCCGAGATGGCATGGGCGGAGCCGAAGGTGGACTAGACATGATGCCGCCGAGGGGCCAATCATGCTGCATAAGACGGTCGATCGCCATCCTGGAGGGGATGCGTGATCCGAACGTGAAAGAGACACGATGGCGCTGAGGGGCCGATCGTGCTGCATAAGACGGCCGTCGCCATCCTGAAGGGAATGTGCGAGCCGAACCGTGAAGCCAGGTACGATGGCGCTGAGGGGCCGATCGCACTGCATAAGACGTTCGTCGCCATCCTGGAAGGGATGCGCGATCCGGACGTGAAAGAGACACGATGGCGCTGAGGGGCCGATCGTGCTGCATAAGACGGTCGTCGCCATCCTGAAGGGAATGTGCGAGCCGAACCGTGAAGTCAGGTACGATGGCGCTGAGGGGCCGATCGCACAGCATAAGACGTTCGTCGCCATCCTGGAAGGGATGCGCGATCCGGACGTGAAAGAGACACGATGGCGCTGAGGGGCCGATCGTGCTGCATAAGACGGTCGTCGTCATCCTGAAGGGAATGTGCGAGCCGAACCGTGAAGCCAGGTACGATGGCGCTGAGGGGCCGATCGCACAGCATAAGACGTTCGTCGCCATCCTGGAAGGGATGCGCGATCCGGACGTGAAAGAGACACGATGGCGCTGAGGGGCCGATCGTGCTGCATAAGACGGTCGTCGCCATCCTGAAGGGAATGTGCGAGCCGAACCGTGAATCTGGACACGATGGCGCTGAGTGGCCGATCGTGATGCATAAGACGTTCGTCGCCACCCTGGAAGGGATGGACGAGCCGAACGTGAGCTGGGTACGATGGCGCTGAGGGGCCGATCGTACTGCATAAGACGGTCGTCGCCATCCTGGAGGGAATGGGCGATCCGAACCGTGAATCTGGACACGATGGCGCTGAGGGGCCGATCGTGATGCATAAGACGTTCGTCGCCACCCTGGAAGGGATGGACGAGCCGAACGTGAGCTGGGTACGATGGCGCTGAGGGGCCGATCGTACTGCATAAGACGGTCGTCGCCATCCTGGAGGGAATGGGCGAGCTGAACCGTGAACTGGACACGATGGCGCTGAGTGGCCGATCGTGATGCATAAGACGTTCGTCGCCACCCTGGAAGGGATGGACGATCCGGACGTGAAAGAGACACGATGGCGCTGAGGGGCCGATCGTGCTGCATAAGACGGTCGTCGCCATCCTGAAGGGAATGTGCGAGCCGAACCGTGAATCTGGACACGATGGCGCTGAGTGGCCGATCGTGATGCATAAGACGTTCGTCGCCACCCTGGAAGGGATGGACGAGCCGAACGTGAGCTGGGTACGATGGCGCTGAGGGGCCGATCGTACTGCATAAGACGGTCGTCGCCATCCTGGAGGGAATGGGCGATCCGAACCGTGAATCTGGACACGATGGCGCTGAGGGGCCGATCGTGATGCATAAGACGTTCGTCGCCACCCTGGAAGGGATGGACGAGCCGAACGTGAGCTGGGTACGATGGCGCTGAGGGGCCGATCGTACTGCATAAGACGGTCGTCGCCATCCTGGAGGGAATGGGCGAGCTGAACCGTGAACTGGACACGATGGCGCTGAGTGGCCGATCGTGATGCATAAGACGTTCGTCGCCACCCTGGAAGGGATGGACGAGCCGAACGTGAGCTGGGTACGATGGCGCTGAGGGGCCGATCATACTGTACAAGACGGTCGTCGCCATCCTGGAGGGAATGGGCGAGCCGAACCGTGAACTGGACACGATGGCGCTGAGTGGCCGATCGTGATGTATAAGACGTTCGTCGCCACCCTGGAAGGGATGAACGAGCCGAACGTGAGCTGGGTACGATGGCGCTGAGGGGCCGATCGTACTGCATAAGACGGTCGTCGCCATCCTGGAGGGAATGGGTGATCCGAACCGTGAATCCGGACACGATGGCGCTGAGGGGCCGATCGTGATGCATAAGACGTTCGTCGCCACCCTGGAAGGGATGGACGAGCCGAACGTGAGCTGGGTACGATGGCGCTGAGGGGGCCGATCGTACTGCATAAGACGGTCGTCGCCATCCTGGAGGGAAATGGGCGATCCGAACCGTGAATCAGGACACGATGGCGCTGAGGGGCCGATCGTGATGCATAAAACGCTCGTCGCCACCCTGGAAGGGATGGACGATCCGAACGTGAGCTGGGTACGATGGCGCTGAGGGGGCCGATCGTACTGCATAAGACGGTCGTCGCCATCCTGGAGGGAATGGGCGATCCGAACCGTGAATCAGGACACGATGGCGCTGAGGGGCCGATCGTGATGCATAAAACGCTCGTCGCCACCCTGGACGGGATGGACGATCCGAACGTGAGCTGGGTACGATGGCGCTGAGGGGCCGATCGTACTGCATAAGACGGTCGTCGCCATCCTGGAGGGAATGGGCGATCCGAACCGTGAATCTGGACACGATGGCGCTGAGGGGCCGATCGTGATGCATAAGACGCTCGTCGCCACCCTGGAAGGGATGGACGATCCGAACGTGAGCTGGGTACGATGGCGCTGAGGGGCCGATCGTGATGCATAAGACGCTCGTCGCCACCCTGGAAGGGATGGACGATCCGAACGTGAGCTGGGTACGATGGCGCTGAGGGGCCGATCGTACTGCATAAGACGGTCGTCGCCATCCTGGAGGGAATGGGCGATCCGAACCGTGAATCTGGACACGATGGCGCTGAGGGGCCGATCGTGATGCATAAAACGCTCGTCGCCACCCTGGAAGGGATGGACGATCCGAACGTGAGCTGGGTACTCAGCGCTGAGGGGCCGATCGTACTGCATAAGACGGTCGTCGCCATCCTGGAGGGAATGGGCGATCCGAACCGTGAATCTGGACACGATGGCGCTGAGGGGCCGATCGTGATGCATAAAACTAGTGATGATCATCTCATGGCCCTCGGCCTCTCGCGGCCCTCGGCCGTGCTGGTGATGTGTCAAGTCTCTCTCCTGATTGGCTGTGAGGAACCGATCGTCTGCCAGGACTCCATCCGGGAAGGAATGGTGAGCCTGAAAATAATACTGGGCAATGTCTCTCCTGTCTGAGCTGGGGAGCTAATCGTCGTTCGTCTACCGTATCCGTGGTTCTATGTACGGACCGCTAAGCGGTGTACACTCGGCACGCACAGACTCCGATAAAGAACTGGTTCTTCGTGTCTGATCCATGGAGCTGGTCTTCGTTCGTCTACCGTATCCGTGGTCCTATGTACGGACCGCTAAGCAGTGTACACTCGGCACGCACAGACTCCGGTAAAGAGCTGGTCCATCGTGTCTGATCCATGGAGCTGGTCTTCGTTCGTCTACCGTATCCGTGGTCCTATGTACGGACCGCTAAGTAGTGTACACTCGGCACGCACAGACTCCGGTAGAGAACTGGTTCTTCGTTCTTCCCAAGTCTCGTGAGTACTGGTCTCCTGGTTTCGCAGGAGACGTTCGTCATCCCAACTATGAGAAGGAACAGGTTTATCCACGTCGGGATTCCCTATTCTTCGTTCGTCCTTGTCGCGGTCCTACTAATCTTCTTACTTCGAAGAAGACGTTCGGTCAACCAACGATCGCAAGGAGGAACAGGTGTATCCACGTCGGGATTCCCTATTCTTCGTTCGTCCTTGCTCGTGGCCCTACTAGCCTTCTGCTTTTGCAGAAGGTGTTCATCGATCCACGGGAAATGGGAGGAACTGGTTTATCTTGCCGAGGTTCCCTTTGGTACGTCTAGCCTCCCCCACGTTCCTACTAACCTCCGCGTCGGGAGACGTTCGTCATACGCGGCGAAGGAAGATCAGGCATACCTCGTCAAGACTCCCTCTCTCATAGGATCTCGTCTCCCCTTCTCCCCATCTTTTTTTTTTTTTTTTTTTTTTTTTTTTTTGCTTCTTTTTTTTTTTTTTTTTTTTTTTTGAGGGAGGAAAATACGTTCGTCGGTTCCAAGAATAACCACAAGTGATGTCACACATAATGTCATGCGAAGGCGATGGTCACCCTCCTAAAGGGAGGGGTGAGCCCGATCGCTAACTCAAGAAGGTCGGCATTGGGAGCCGATATACAATGATCATAATGTCGCTGAGCAGTCGGTCCTGATAATGGAGATGACAATAGTGTCCGGTCAGGCCGATTTATCCGAGCAACGGCTCTCATCCAACGCAGCGCGGGGATGAAACCGGTCTTCAAAAGATAAATATGTCGTGCCGAGAGGCCGAACATAACATGATAGTGTCGGCAGTGAGAGGCCGACCTGAAAGAATCAAACAACGGTCTTCGTCCGCGAGGTAGCGGGGACGAGGCCGGTCTTCGAAAGATAGGCACGCCGAGCCGAGAGGCCGGTCGTGGTATGACAGTGTCGGCAACGAGAGGCCGATCTGAGAAAATCAAGCAACGGTCCTTGTTCGCGAGGGCGGGGACGAGGCCGGTCTTCAAAAGATAAGCACGCCGAGCCGAGGGGCCGGTCATGGTATAATGGTGTCGGCAATGAGCGGCCGATCTGAAAGAATCAAACAACGGTCCTCGTCCGCGGGGTGGCGGGGACGAGGCCGGTCTTCAAAGATGATAATCACTCCAGGTCGGGGGGCCGAACATGATATGACAGTGTCGGCAATGAGCGGCCGATCTGAGAAAATCAAGCAACGGTCCTCGTCCGCGAGGGCGGGGACGAGGCCGGTCTTCAAAGATGATAATCACGCCAGGCCGGGGGGCCGGACATGATATGATAGTGTCGGCAATGAGCGGCCGATCTGAGAAAATCAAGCAACGGTCCTCGTCCGCGAGGGCGGGGACGAGGCCGGTCTTCAAAGATGATAATCACGCCAGGCCGGGGGGCCGGACATGATATGATAGTGTCGGCAATGAGCGGCCGATCTGAGAAAATCAAGCAACGGTCCTCGTCCGCGAGGGCGGGGACGAGGCCGGTCTTCAAAGATGATAATCACGCCAGGCCGGGGGGCCGGACATGATATGATAGTGTCGGCAATGAGAGGCCGATCCCAAAAATCAAGCAACGGTCCTCGTCCGCGAGGGCGGGGACGAGGCCGGTCTTCAAAAGATAGGCACGCCGAGTCGAGAGGCCGGTCGTGGTATAATGATGTCGGCAATGAGAGGCCGATCAAGTGTATCCGTGCAACGGCTCTCATCCGCGCAGCGCGGGGATGATACCGGTCTTCAGGTGATAAATACGCCGTACCGTGAGGTCGGTCGTGATGTAAGGATGGTCCCACGACCCTCGGCCGTAGTGGTCTCCTCTAGGCCACCGGCTCCTGGTGTGGAGATGCTCGTATCACGGCTCTCAGCCGTGATGGTTTCCTCTTGGCCCTCGGCCTCTGGATGATGGATGATCGTCTCACGATTCTCTGTCATGGCATTCGCCTCTAGATCCTCGGCCTCTAGGTGTTCTTCCTAGGCCATCAGTCTCTGGGGTGGAGATGCTCGTCCCACGGTTCTCAACCGTGGTGGTCTCCTCTAGGCCCTCGGCCTCTAGGTGGAGATGCTCGTCTCACGGTCCTCAGCCGTGATGCTCTCCTCTTTAGCCGGCCCTGCACGTCTTCAAGACTTGGGCCGAGCGTCTTCTAATCATTTCACTCGAGCGCGTCGAGCGGCTTCAGCTGCGCAATAAGCATGGTAACGGGCCGCACGGCCCGACAATATGTATACACACACAATCATCTGCATGGCTTTCTCTCTAATATCCACGATTACCGGCCTATGGGTTATCGTGACCCTCGGCCCGGCTCATCGTGCGGGGTTAATGGACGTAGCAGCTCGCGGCGGGGCCAATTAGCAGCCCGCCGAACGTCACATAGAGATATTCATCGGTCTGTGAGTTTTCAAACTCAGACCCAAGTTGGTCGCACCGCCCTCGGAAACACGAGGCCGAGCGCTTTGGTGCCCTCGGGGCCCCACAGGCCGCGTCTGGCAATAGTCACTTCGCGCCTAATGGCGTAGATGATACTGGGGTACGATCGTCGATCGGGCACGTAGTGCCGTGCGGACTAACGTGCAACCCTCAAATTAAAATGCGTCGTCGGGGCGTCGCCCTTTTGGAGACGCTCAGACCGCTTAATCAAGCTGATCGAGAGTGGGCCATCAGGCCCACAAGAAATTAAATATTCAATAAGATGGTGGCTGAACCAACCATCACCAGAGCTTCGCTCCACATTATTTAATTCGGGACATTTTTATCCCTAATAAATAATAGTGGCGTAACAGGTCATAGCAATGATATTTTCCTATCAAAGGCCATTGAGGTGCGCTCCGCTCGCTAATTAAAGCCGATTGGGAGCAGGCCGACAGGCCCACAACAACAGTCATTAATTAAAATGACGGTGAAAACTAGTTATCACTTAGAGCATCACTCTCATTATTTAATTTCGGGAGTTTTAATCCCTAATAAATAATGGTGATAAAAATACTGGCAATATTTAATCATGCTGTATTATTCTAATACTTCAATAACTAGTAAATTGGGTTAGTGGCACTTAGCTTTTGGAGATCAAGCTTCGGCCAGCTGGGTTTGGAGATAAAGCTTGGTCAATTCTTCCATCAATTTTGACCCTGTCAACATTATTTTAAAAGTTTGCTCTTCATTATTTGGCCTCACTCCACGGACGTGGCTTGCCTCAGACCAAGGCATCGTGTGCGGAGTACATCTTTTAGGAAAAGGCAGGTGGAGCACCATCCTACCAAACCAGGTGCAGGCCGTTCGTGTCGGTCACTTCTCGCGAGTGGAGACGGCGGTCGCAGCCGAGCAAGGCGGCCCGAACAGCTTTTATCCGGCGGAAGCTCGACCGAACTACTGAACGTCCTTATTCTGAGCTCGAAAAACACCATTAATGGCAGAATCATGAAGCTCTCGACCGGCATACCCCACATGTCGCGTCGGCCGAGTCGTGGAAGCTCGAACGGCGACCGGGTGGGGGGAGTAACCAGCAGTAGGTCGGTGATGGCGACGGTGGTGTGGTGATGCTTTGGCGGCGACGATGCTCCGGCGGCGGCAGCAAAACAGAGCAAGATCCGGACAACCCAGATCTTCCAAAATCCTCGTTTTTCCTCTTCCTCCCGTTCAAATCAGTCATTTTTCCTTCTTTTTCGCTGGAATCAATCCACTCCATATGAATTTTTCGCAGAAACTCAAGAACAGTAGAACACACGAATCTTTTTGGACAGATTCCCACAGACGGCGCCAGTGTTGAGTTTAATCCAACACGATATAGTAAATATATGTATGAACACTCAGTTTTTACGTGGAAACCCGAAAGGGAGAAAACCACGGGACTTTTTAGGCTAATGTCCAAGCCCTCTCTTTCTCATTAGGACTCTCCTCACCATTACATAGTACATTTTGAGCTCCCATTCATGGAGTATTATCTAATCTAGAGAGCTAAAGGAAGAAGGAAAAAGATGCCTAATATGGAGGCTAAGCTCTCTATTTATAGACAAAGGGAAAGGGTGCTCTCCACCCTAATGGGCCAAACGGGCCAATATCGGGCCTAATGGGCCGAAATGGGCCTAGCTGCTCGGGCTCCGTACTGGATAATGTCTTGGGCCCCTGAACAGTAATAGGCCGGGATAATATATCCCAACAGATTGTCCTAAAAAATTACCACTTTTGCAATTATAATCAATTTCTGGTTTTTGTTATTTTTCTCTTCTCTGCACAAACTTATGTCACACTGTTTTTATTTTATTATTATTCTTCCCGCCAGTCAAACTTGACAAACTTTTGAGGGATTGAGAGTATTTTTAATTTCAAGCGCTAAGTTGTGTTATAATCAAAATAAGTAAATTTAAAGTTACTTTTCTAACTTGGTTGGCTAGAGTTCATGTAAAAAGACTATTTTAGTTATTTTTCATATAATTTTTGTTTACTCTATTAATACAATATATTTTAAAAATAATTGAATTATGATTTAGTAGAATCAGACAATTCTAGCACTTCAGTGAATCTCAATATTACCAAACGAGCTCTAAGTTTTACAAATTAATTTACACTTTCTATATAATGGGTGGAATTGGTTGATTATATAATTATTGTGTGCACACAAATTAATATCATTATTTTTCTTCAAATAACATTATAGTTCTAATTAGGATATTTTTACTTACAATTAGTCCTAAATCGGACAAGACCTGATCCGATCAGGTCAGGATTTAAACAGAACAGATCAAACTTAAATAGACTAAACCACACCAGACTTATACAGTAATAAAATACACAGAGATCAAACATTTACAATATCAAACCAGACCTATTCAAGTAAGTGATGTGAGTTTTCTCACACTAAAAATAGATCGTAGTAAAGGGCGTAAGTACGAGTATCGTCTCCACAGGGACGGAAACAAGGAATTAAGTATTAATTAACTTCAACGATAAAAAGAAATAAAATAAAATGCAATTGTGCGAGATTGATTGGTTGTGGAAAATTAAAAAGCAACTAAACGATTAAAATAAATGAGTTCTCTGTAATTAATGACGAAGAGAACAAGGATTGATTCCGCGGTACTCAGATTTCTGGCGGATCAAGCTTAATCACATGAAAATAATTTAATTGAGCAACGCTAATCAATACTAAGTTCTAACCGCTCTCGCGGCGTATAGTACAATAATTTAGGGAACCAAACAGATCTTTCATGCGACATGTATCTAAAATTATTGTCAAAATGAGCAAGCATACGACCCCTTAATCGCTACTAATCTTTTAGCGAGCGATTAAGTATGTGTGAAAGTGTTCTAGAATAAATTAGATCTCTCTTAATTTATTCTACATGCAATTGTAATTCTAGTGACTATTCTATTGATGGACAGTGTACCCGGGGGTAGCTTATCCGAGGGGTTATTGTGAGAATAACCTAGAGAGAAGTCAGAGCAAGTAAGAGGAAGGAGAGTCGATTGTATTAAATGAACTCAGCGTGCTTTACAAGGGGAATAAGGGCTGCTATTTATAGCAGCAATAAATGCGATGAGAGTACACGTGTCAGTAATCCAACGGCCGAGGGGTCACCTCAATCGGGGTGGCACCGGCAATCGCACGTTCACCGCATTAAATGTGGTGGGTGGATGTGACGTCACGTTAAATGCGGTGGTTGGCTGTCTTCAAAGGAAATCTTCGATGATTGAGTCTGTTAGCCGAGGACTCTTCATGTAGCCGAGGGCTTCGTGTGGCCGAAGGCCCTGTGTAGCCGAGGGCTTGGTTCAGCCTAAGGCTTCTCTGGTGCCGAGGGCTCAACAGTGCCGAAGGCTCCTGTTTTCTGCCATTTTCTCCCAGTAGCTTCGTATGCTCGAATATGGCTATTCTATGAGTTTTGGAGCCTTTGGCCATAATGCCGAAGGCTACCCCAGGCGCCCCTTGGGCTTGGGCCGCCGTGGTTTGGGCCTTCTTTGCTTCTTGGGCCTGTTGGGCCGGTGCTGGAATAATAGGAGTCTGTGGGCCGGGGATTCCTAGGCCATATACTCCATCATCTATGTTACAGGAGATATCAACTAAATCATTCATACACAAATTAGATAAAGATTCATGCAAGTTAAACCATCAAGAAACTAGTCATACATCATGAATAACTCATTCATCAATTCCAAATCCCTAATTAAAACTAGGAAAGATTAAAAATAATAATTCCAACTATTGCCGGTCTGTTGACAATAATCCTAACTATTGATTATTTTTGTATAATCTCAACTATATAGACCGTCTGCCAAAAATAGTTTATGACCAGATATTACCGCATATATGAAGTGAATTTTAAATAGAAATTAAGCGTAAAAATTAAAAGTTGGGATTATTTATAGAGATTACATGATATATCTCTTCTCTTCCACTTAAGAAACTACGTGAATTTATTTATAGGGACCATTATTGGCGGAAGGTCCCTAATGTTGGGATTATTCTAAAATAATCGATAGTTAGAATTATTATAAGCGGACCACCAATAGTCAGGATTATTACTATCAATTTTTTCTTAAAACTACTCTCAATTCATAATTGAAAAATCAATGGAATTGGAAAAGAAAGAATTAATTGTCATTAATCAAAAAGATGGAACTTACAAAGAACCTCAAAATATTGATGACCAAGGCTGAAAAGCTCTCTAAATTTCGTGTTAGGCACTCTCGCTAAGCTTTGTCCCCCTAAAACGGGGTTATAGAGACCTTATTTATAGAAATTGGATGAATTCGGGTCAAATTAGGACTTTCCAGGGCAGGCACAGCCCTAGGCACGACGTGCCTAACCTCAGTGCCTGCGGAAGAGTCACGTCTCAGGGTCAGGCACGGCACGACTGTTGGAAAAATGTGTGAAAAATTGCATTAAATGGCTATTTTGGGGCAATTTTTTGAGTGGGGTCCACTTCCGATTTGGGTCGGGTCAAAGTGGTTTCGGATTGTCCTTGTTAAGGGCTACAATTCGATATATGGTACGCTCAAAACGGATAACGGGTGAATGAGAAATCGCTTTTCGAAGTTTACCCGTTAGAAGGGAAAAAAGGATGGGTTTCTAGTGTGTTAATTTCCCACACCGGAAAACCCAAGGGATTTGCTACCCTTTATAAAGGGACTCCCCCCTTATGGAGTTAAAATTCTTAAGGGTAAAGGCTCTCTCCACGCGCGCAGGGGGGTGCAAATCAAATCCCGAATTCGGAGAAGAAAAACCGCGACTTGCGTGCGCGGGCGACCTGCAGACACGAATGTCGTCCAAAGATCTATATCTCAAGAGATACGATTAATTTTTGTTTTCTTCCCGAAACGTTTAATTTTTTCTCAGCGGCAGAAGTGCTCGGACAGAAGTCCTCGTTGGTGTTCTGATGGCAGAACCCTTCATGGGGTATTCTGATGGCCGCCCATCGAAGATGGGGTATTCTGATGGCCGCCCATCAGAGTTGGGGGTACTCTGATGGCCGCGGATCAGAGTTGGGGTCTTCTGATTGGCCTCCGATCAGAACCCCTCCCGGGGTGTTCTGATGGAGGTCTTTTGTCGCACTTCTGAAACGTTACAACAATTAATGTCCAACATTCTTATCTTTTAATGCAGCGTTAAATGGACAGTTCATGGACGATTCAATGCCCAACGGACTGGTCATTGATGTCCAACGTTCAGGTCCATTAATTCACCATTTACACACAACAAATCCTCCTATATAAAGGCTGGCAGGTGGTTTGCAACAACACACGTTCTTACACGAATTCATACACGTTTTGCACCTCTAAAAACACACTGCTAGCAATCTGCAAATTCCTTCTGTGTTCAGTCTTTGTTCTCGTTCGCTGGAACTTTTGTTTGAGTGCTCAAACACTAGTTCGTTGTCATCGTATCCTGGGAAACTATTGTTGCAACGCTCCTACCACCGTGGGAGGCAACAAATACGTTTTAAGAACATCGTGCGTAGCACGAGCTTTGACTAATTCTGCTTCATCTTCTTTCTTGTTTTTCTCTAGTCATTTTATTAATTAATTTATTTTAATTAATTTTCTTTATTTTCCGAAACACACCCGACAACGACTACCTGGCAGACACGACGGTGCCTGACTGGCAGTAGCTCCGCGTTGTTTCCTTCAGCGGGCACGGCGTGCCTCTTTCCCTTCCGAATTTGACAATGCTTCCTTAACGAAAGTTGTAGATAATGAAGTCCTCTATCTACGAAAACTTACAAAACTGGATTTGAATCATCCAATCAAACGATATGAATAACATGGTGGAAGGTCGCATCCTCAAATTTCAACAGCGAGTATCTGACTTCCTCGTATTTTGCATCTTGCTCCTCTCAGATTCTTCCAATGGTATCATCATATTATTTGTAGCCCTTGAAGTTAGATTTCATATGAAACTTGAATCGTGTGCATGAGATGTTTCTACAAAAAGATATGCTTGAACGATTGACAGTACGTCATCCTGATCGCCGTTTTCAAGCTCTATTCGTCTTCTTTTGATCCTATAGCCAATCCTAGACCTCTTTTATTATCAAAACTTCATCGTGAACCTCCCGGTGACCTCCAAAGCTCTCAAATCTCTCCAGAATTCATCTTGACTTGTCCCAATTTCTTCTCAAGCGCCAGCGACGGACTCTGATTTCCTGATTTTGACTCCAAACAACACAAAACACGAACCAACGCCTGGTAAACATAACTTGAGCTAAAATTGAGACTTGTGACACCTAAAAGTTAGGAAAATCATCAAAATCCGATCCCAACACGTATCAAATGTGTGTTGTAATACGAACTTATCATTACGATTAACCAGATAAGACTTAACCGGACCAACACATTTCATACCAACCCAAAAGAAATCACTCCAATTAAACATGCTTGGATGTGTATATTATGCTATATCATCGCCATCGTCATTCCTCAATCATCAATTCATTTCACCCTTATTTTAAATGGACTCAATTTTTTGTTGTTCAAAACTGCAAATTACACTGTACAACCGATTATACCTAGGGCATGGTACAACCGGGTATTTTTGCAATTAATTACAACTCCAATGGTAAAAATCTTCCCTGTTGTGTTGCTCGCTGATGTCCTGGGAACTGTTGAAGGAGTTGTCGGTCAATACTGCTCGCTTGCTGAAGTCCGGCCTAGAGTTCCGATCGATGCTACTTGCTCGCTGGGAGTCCAGCTGAAGAAGAATACGGGTTGTGGCCTTCTATGGATCGGAAGGCAAAGTCTTGAGATTTGTAACGTTAGTTTTGGATTGGAATCGAAAAGGACAAACTTCATCTTATATTTCAGGGAGATTTACCAAATAAACCCTCAAACTTACTTAAAAAGTGCAAATTACCC